AAACCAAATTGTATGCCCTATGTTAGGCCAGGAAGCTTGGTGCAGTATATTTTAAAAAGATGGATGTCTATATTGTAAAATAAAAGACTTTGGATAAAGTCCTTGACTTTTTTAAATGTTTAAAAGTATTTTACAAAATGTGAAACAGATTTAGTAAGACAGTGTGTTACTTTCCCTTCGTGCATAGAATTTGGATTCACACAGAACTCCATTCAAATTCTAGGTAGGCCATAGGATGTGAAATTATTCCCTGCCTTATTTATATAAAGTCAAAGTTATAAAACATGTTTGAATTAGCTTTTGTTTTGTGAACACTACTACAAAACATGATGATTTAACACAGCGATATTTTACCATTCTGTTCTTCAGATGATCTGGCCAGTTGTAGGTGGTGTCATGGGCTTCTCTGGGAAGGCACTTGCAATTCCTGTAACTGCTAGACAGTGAAGTCTAAGTTTACCTCACTCAACATACTAATGGTTACTGGCACCAGGAAGAGGGGAAGAAGTGTGCCAAATTATCTCTGCAATATTATAGACTACTGGGGTCTGTCAGGCAACAACCATATTTCTAGATTTTTCTGACCTGGGGCAAAAAATTAGACATCTATATGGGGATAGTGGTTGAGGCAGACTTTGTTTATTTACAGAGTGCTTGAAGGCAAGGAGTATACCAAAGCTGGAAGAAGTTAGACTCTGTAATGCTAATGCTGGACAGATGGAGACCTTGTTAGGACAGTTGGATGGCAACCAATTTTCCCATGCATCCTACCTTGTTTGTCAATCTTGGCATGGAGATATTTCTGCTGTTTACTTTTGTTTCTGATACAACACAGCTCTAAGTCTTTCAGTAAGGCTTGAATGGTTTCCTCAATTTTGGGTGTTGAAAATGCATCCCAAAGGAAGGTCATCAGGATGTCTTAAGGTTAGAATTTATAGCAATCTTGGTATATCTTATACAATGTTCTCCAGACTAGACTGGTTTGGAAAAGATAGGGGCATGTCTTTACTTCTGGATAGAAGGAATCAAAGGCACACTGAAAATTAGGCTGACCATAGCAATCAGTCATTAAAGGTGTATATTCATCAATGTTTACTTATCTACTTATCTGAATGCTGTGAGCACTCAAGTAGGTAACACATTTTACCTTTAAGTGTATGTGTGTCTATAACCCAGATATTGAAGGATATTTTATCATTATTTTATTATTGTATCTTCTTTGATTACTTTCCACTCTAACTTTTAAGAAAGTTAAACTGGAGCTTAGTGATTGGCCAATATCAGTGCAACCTCCCCTAATGCTGGAGTTCCTAGCATGCACCACCACTCCTGGGTGTGACATCATGACTTGACTCCTAATGCTCACACAGTAGGAACTATACTAACTGAATATTTTCCCAGTCCCTTTACTCATATAAAGTATGAGTATAAAGTATCATATAAAGTATCATGAATCACAGACTGCAAACTGTGAGAATAATTTAATAAATGGTGACGGCATCATCTGCATTAGACACATATTTTTAGAAAGCACAGACGGAAGAATAGATTTAGAAAGATCCTATGTTACAGTATATTTACCATAATGTCAAGCATTGAAACCAGACAGACCAAAGACTTGGAACTTAATTTGTTGTACATAAGGAACATACAAAGTTCACATGTTTTCCTGGATTTGCTTTGTTTCATGGGAATGTGGAAGATGACAGATTCAGCCACTTTGTCACAAAATAGCATGCATTTTTTTCTTATTAAAAGTTAGGTAGTATCCCATAGTGCTTATTTGTCATATATTCATTATTCACTCCTATATTCATGGTGCTGATGTTGATCCAGAGCCAGGGTATTTCAAATGATACAAAAACCAACATGTAGCTATGGATATGATTGAAACATACTGATTTTAGTCTTTTGTGTATATAACAAATAGTAGTATTATTTAATCACATGAGAATTTTAATTTCAGTATTATGGAGGCTTTTCATTAGAGCTACATCAACTTACATTTACACCAATAGAAGACAAGAATTCTTCTCCAAATCATTGTCAACAGCTGTTTATATGTTTTTTGTTTTGTTTTGATTTTGCTAATCACCTAGTAACAGGCATATGATATCTCATTATTGTTTTAATTTGCATTTCTCTGGTGGTTATTAATATTAAGCATTTTATACAGGAAAAATTTACCTATAAAAGAATGGAGGAAGGAGAAATAGTCTTTTATGTATGAAATAAGTAAAAGACAATAAATACACAAATGAGTGCATAGGGGAATGAACTACGCGTCATTGTTAAAATTTTTGTTTATTCCTTGAGATCCATTTCTCTATGCAGGAAAGCATTTTTGGGCAAGCTGCAAGTACAGGATGCCTTTCTTTCTTGCTTATGAATGGGTATACAATCAGAAAACAGGGAGTGGGAGACAGTTTCCATTCCCTCCTATCTTGTTTTGTTGTCTCTTATGATTTCCATCTGCCCATCTCACTTCTGTGTAAATCTTTTCTTAAAATGCACTCAATTTTAGTGTTCATGTCTTTTCTGCTGAGATGCACAGAGACTCTAAAATATTTTCTTGTTCTTTCAACACAAAGTAACATGTGACCCCAGATAGGGACAATAAAGGAAATAAGCATTGTAGCTAATGTCAACCCCATCAAATATTTGATCAAAATGTTCATAATTTATTAATATTTAGTATGTATTATCTATTTAAAAGACTGAGCTAAAATAAGATCTATGTCATCCATTCTCAGTATAGATGTTCAACTAGTCATCACAAGATTAGGAGAAAATCTAAACTGTAGAAAATGACACAGTAAACCTGTTGGGATATAAGTGTGTGTGTGATGGGGGGAGGTGCTCTGGGTATACTAGGGATGAAGAAGTTTAGCTTACAGATATTGCATTTAATTGGATATGAATTGTTATATACATGAACTAAAGAGTATGGAGAAATTTGTAGGGAAAAAAACCAGAGGTCATGTGACGATGGTGAACAAATTGATGCCTTTTAAGACTGGGAGTTAAAGAAGTCTTGTACATCCCAAAGTCAGAGGGCTGGTGAAATTATAGTATTCTAAGAAGCCAATGGAGTAATGACCAAAACCTGAAGGAACTCACTAATCATATTGAAAATTTTGGTTTATGTCTTAGGGTTTCTGCTGTTGTGATAAAACATCATGAACACAAGAAACTTGGGCAGTAAAGGGTTTATTTTACTTATGCTTCCAAGTCACCATCCACTTATTGAAAGTAGCTAGGGCAGGAACTCAAGGAAGGAACTTAATGGTAGGAATTGATGAAGACACCATTGATGAATGATGCTTACTGGCTTAATTCTCAAGGCTTGATCAGCTTGTTTTCTTAAAGTATCCATGTCCAGCGGTGGCACTGCTAAAAGTCAACTGGAAATTCCTCCATAAACCATCAATCAAAGAAAATGTACCACAGGCTTACCCAAAAGCCAATCTGTGGGGGCATTTTCCCAGTTGAAGTTTCCTTTTCCAAAATGACTCTAGTTTGTGTCAAGTTGTGAAAAAACTAAGCAACACAATTTGCATCCAAAGAAGAGAATTTTATTATAGAAAGAAAAGGGGTGACTTGTATCTTGAAAGTGCCCCGGGACAATAAAACCAGGAAAGGCTGGAAGACAAAACATGAGATAGTATCTTGACTAAGGATATTTCACACAGTCCAACTAAGAAATGAAAGCAAGCTGATGTAAAAACAACATATTTGTGGGGAATTTCTAGATCAAGTTGTTTGAAATTGGCATTTGCATTAGTCTGATCAGGCTGCTTTTATTGAATGACTGGAGGGGCTAGAATTTGTTCCCACACAGTTATGGAACCTGAGAAATCCAAAGTCAAGGGGACAACACATTGGTGTCTATGAGGACCCGTTTCCTCATTCATCTATAGAGTCCCAATCTGTGTCCTCACACGGTAAACAGGTTCTCTGAGACCTCATTTATAACAACCAAAGTCTTTGCCTAAATATCTACTGGATAAGGCCATCACTGGAGGGGGTAAGATTTAACTTAAACATTTGAGGATGGTGTAATTATTCAGATGAAATTAGTGTCATCTTAGATTTGAGGCATAAGAAAATGGATATTGTTAACAAACAACTTTTATATCCAGATGTTTGCATAATTACAACATGGGAATTTGGTAGGTCTAACACTTGTAAGAGAAGTTCTTGTTGGCTACAACATCTCAGAATTCATCAGTATTCAAGAATTTATCAAAATTGTGTACATTTTTTTAGGTCTTGTAGGTAAAACATAAATGAGATAAAGACAAAACCCAGAGTAGCTCCAGTATGGTCTTCTGAGAAACCAATTCTAAGATACACATAAGATGGGAAAGGTGACTCCTCCAAGACAGCAGCAGAAGACCATGGCAACAAAATGGAAGCTAAACACTGTCACCAGTTACCACTGCGCACAGAGGTCAAACAAGATGAGAACAAAATGATTAATTCCATTTATCAATATGAGGTCATTGATACTGGGGGAGCAGGGATGAAATAATGTAAAGATATGAAAATTAATTATGAATATAGATTTGTTAAGTGGTTTTGGACACCAAAGGCAAAGATAAGAATTAAAGGAAGAATTGTGGTGTGGAACTGAGAAAGATGCACAGAAGGTAGTTATTTGCCTGATAACCTGATTTCAATGCATGGAACCAAGACAGAGGCAAAAATGGAATGTCTGATCCCAAAGTTGTTCACATCCATGCTGTAGCATCACAATGCCCATTCCCGATCCACACATTAATAATTTTTAATTAGAAAAATCATTTATTTCTGCTCCTTTCATACATATTGTCTAGGAAACAGTCTCCCATATGTATCTGAAATGGCAGAGTACCACACACACCATTTAAGGGCAACGTACCACTGGAGGAACTGACCGGTTGTCCAAGTATCTCCCGATATACTTCTCAATTTGCATTAATTTCTGAAATTCAGAAATATCATGTCCAAAAAAATGATAAGGGGGTTGTAAAAAATAATCACTTTATTCAATACCAAAGTTTTAGAAATGGAGTATATTTTCTTTGGGAAATAAAAAACTAAGAAGAAAATGCCACTTAACATAGTTGGTACATCAGAAGAGGTCATCAGAAAAAATACTGTAATGAACGTGTCTCTGATAGCATGAATTCCAGTCCTAGCGGTCATATGCTTGCTAGGGTGTCCCTCAACGTGGCTTTTACTCTGCTCTTCACTCTTCTACTCATCGCACAGGGGAGTGGCTCAGCCTCTAAAGCTTCACTAACAGGAGCCAATCCAGGATTCAATGATTTCCTCAAAATGCACTAGCCCATCAGGTAGCCCGGCAATTTTATTCTCATGAATACTCTAGCCATGAAGAAACTCAGCAGGACACAGACAAAGCCAATGAAGAGAGGAAGAAACCTATTGAGTTTCAGAATATTTGGTGCATTGGATCGGTCCAGGATTATGAAACCTAAACCTCCTATTGTAAACAGGAAGCTATACACAAGTCCTTCCATAATATACTGTCCATTTACTCTGTAAGCAAAGAAAGCTACTGGTCTCTGATGTCCATGCTCATCAGTCATTGAGCCAACGATTGGAGGTTCAACAATAATATCATAGATTATTCCTCCAGTAATGAGGAAGTAAGACACCACCACTAGGGCGTACACCATCATGGTCGACTGCATGCGCATCCAGGGCGGCTTCTTCAGCTTCAGGTTGGGGCATTCGAGCACTAAGAATGGGACTCGGTACAGAGTCTCCATGTCAGCGGCAGCAGGGACGGCGCTCTGGCCTCCGGCCTCCCGCGCTGCCTGGAAACAGCTAATAATTTTTAAAAATGAAAAAAAGAAACAGAGGTGTATGATTCAAGATGGAAAACTGAACAGTTTTAAAGGTTGATAAGTTTAAAGGCAAATAGAATATCCTGGGCTATACAAAAAAAAAATACAGAAAATAAAACCTATAGGTTTAGACTGTGATATTCAAAATGTGAGGGAAAGCATAAATATGTTTATCATCATATACATGGAGAATTAGTGACTTGTATCCTTAACACCAGAATAATTAGAACACAGTGAAATGTGTGCACCTATAGAAGATTTGCAAGAAATAAAAGAATGGCAGGTAAAACTGGCAGGTGACAAAAGTGTCCTTGATTTAGAGAAACAGTGAAATAATGGTCTCAGAGAGTAAGTTAAGTACATCTCAAGTAGCACTAGAGAGAAGAAAATGAAAAGAATATAAGCCATGAGGACAGATGCAGCATGAAAACACCTGCATAATTCTTAGTTCAATAAAGGAGAGATAGCAGCCAAAATGAAAAATCATTATTTCTTTAAGCAAAAGTAGCTTTAACTTTTTCAGTACTTACATAATTCTTGACAGGCTTGAAGTTTCCAGAATTTTAACTGATATTCATTGGTTGTATGTGTGCACAGACATATGAAAATACATAATACTGGAAGTTCAAGAGAGAACATTGTAGAGTTAGGAAACTCTACAAATGTATACAATTATAGTAGATTCAACAACACACCACCAGTAAAGGGGGCATGGAATACAAGCATTTAGCACTGAACAGAGTCTTCAAGAAATATAACAAAATGGGCTTTTGTCTTTGGCCTTACCAGATTGGTAAGTAAAATAAGATAGTTTTAATTTAAATAAAAAGAGAAAAAATTTAAAAAGGAGTTTCACATTGATTAAAACAGTTCATTCATAGTGGGTAAATTGTAGTTAAAGATGGAAAGCAGATACATGCTTGCAAAAGGTATTAATGTTCTCAGTTTCAGAAATTGTTTTTTCTTTATGTTTCACATTCGCACATAGACAATAAGAAAACCTGATTGTAACCCATCACAGTTGCCCCTTAGTGTAAATGATAAGAAAGACACATGTTGTTTGCTGTCTGCATGGAACTTTTATCCTACATACTATCATTTCACAATGCCTGTCACACTATGCGACTGCAAAAATAACTTTGATATACAGAAAATAATGGGACATTTACTATTAACAGCACAGAAAAGGCAGAGAGAGGGGGAGAGATTGTGCCATTGCAATCCTCCTTGATCTCACATATGCCTAGCCTATAAGGATCATTGCATCCTGAACCTCCTGGATTCTCTATCCTAAAGATCCATGTGAAATACAGATTGTTGGATATGCTGTGTCTTTCTTGCTGATTGAATCAGTATTGTGCATTGTCTATACAGACCAAGCCGCAAAAAACTCCACATAGTTATCTAGAAAATATTTTTAACTCCATGTGAATGCTTGAATATTTTGCCTTATTAGATATCATAGACCATAAAACTGAAATATCTTCTCACTGATAACAATAAATAAATACATCAAATACACAAAAATTAAATTATAATTTTTCCTGTCACAGATGTTTGTTTTGTAAATTTATGCTCTATCTATCTATCTATCTATCTATCTATCTATCTATCTATCATCTATCTACCTAGATGTTACATATTATCTCTGGAGGTATATAAAATTTACAAATTTCTGTGAGGGAGAAAGAAATTGTTAGCCAAGTTCTTTCTCACTGTAATTAGCAAAGAGAAATAAATAATCAGAAAGGATTAAATAAGTAATTAAAAGTCCTCACTATGCCTCAAGCTTGGCACTCTTACATTATGCTTCCTTCAGTCAGCCTACAGCACCATTGAGTTCTACCTTCTCTTTTATCCTATTCTTCTTCATGGACAGTTTCGTTGGTAAGTCCTGGAGATGACAGCAGGTAAGAGGATGTATACGTAGATGATTCTACATTTAAGCCACTGTTTCTGTGGAATGGAACTATATCTTTGCTTTTCTTCTCAGAAGGCCTCCTCCTCTATCTCTTGACAGTGATTGACAGCTACAAGTTGTTGTGTCAAAGCTCCTGCAAGTCAATTATGAAAATGATGCACACTTGCTTAAAGATGATTGTAAATTGCTTCTGGCTGATCAGAATAATGAGTTGCAGTGATGCTAATCAACACTGGGCATATATAGTACCTGCTCCTGCTGGTGGGTTTGCAGCTGCAACTAGTTCACCCAAATGAGTGTTTTGATTTTTTTGTGGATTGAGCAGGATGCTCACAATGAGAACATTATGAGAGGAGGTGAGATTTAGTTCAAAGAAAACAATGAGGCAAACTACAGTCATCTCATGTTATTCATATAGCTGTTTTCTTTACAAGTCTCCTATGAATTTATTGTCTGGAGCAGGGGTGTGGGCAGAATTAGCTACAACCAGCTGTGTTACATACTAGGTTTTATCATTGGGCAGTTATGGTTTCCATATGAAGTAGCTATTTGCTGTCCCATGGGGTAGGTGAAGAAACTGACACTAGGAAATTACCCAGAAACATGCAGGCAGCTGAGCCAAGATTCCATTTTCTGCAAGTTCAAATCACAGTCTGCTAGTGATAACTGCATACTATGTAAACTTTTCCCATGTAAAATAGGGAAGAATGGCTTAGTGGTTACACCACACTTCTGTGCAGCAGGAACCAATGGGGTATGGTACAAGTCCCTCATACACTAAAGCTTTTTATGAACTGCATCAGATCTTCACTATTGTTAGTGGAGGGGAGGTTATGCAGTGACTGCCAATGAGGATTTTTTTTCTGAGATAATAAAAGTTATGCTAAAAGTGATGGTAGAGATGACACACCAATCTGACTAGACAAAAACTAATTGAATTGCCTTTCAGTTATTTTTTCTTTGAGAATTTTGTGCATGTGTATATAATGTATATTGATCACATTTACCTCCCACTCCCCTCTTATTTATATCTTTTACCCACTCTGGAACCTCTTCCCAACACATCCCTTAATTGAATTCTTTAAGGGAATGTTCAATATTAGGCATGATAAACACATTTTAATAATGCTAATGAAAAGTGAGGTGTGGAGATTATAAAGCATGCAGGCAGTGTGACTTAACTGAGCTTACTCAAACAGTTGTTCAAAGCAGTAAACATTTTATATTTATTTATTAATCATTAATTATTTTTCTGCAGTAATATGATCCAGAGCCTTTTGTACGCAAAGTAAGTTCTCTGCTACTGACTTATTATACACCCTTGCCCCAGACTCTTTTAATATTTTTCTAAAACAGTAACTCTTTAGAAGTGAAGCAACTCTTAGTCCCTTTGAATACTAACATAAATAGGGATGTTTGGAAATTAGGAAATGTGGTAGTAGAATAATTGTGGATGTGATATAAGATCTTATAATCTAGGTCAACCAATATAAATGTGATATAATTGACTGACTATCATAACAAAGAAAACTGGGGGAAATCAATGTGGAATGCTACACACTAGATAGATTGAGGGATTGAGGGTTTATCAGAAAGGTGAAAAGATTAAAGTATAGTTGTCAGCCCATCCTTCTAGTGGGAAGTGTCTGCCATGTTCCTACACACAGGAAAGAAGTCTGGGATTAGACACAAATGTCACATCACCAAAGTATATAGCTTAAATCAAGGGAGAAGAGTGACATGCTACTTTGATTTGATTCCAAGATTTAGACTCTAATCCTATGCCTCTGCTAACTCATATCGTCTTTGTCCTTCTGCCAAGTTCAACAGGAATGAACAGCCTGGCCACTGAACTTTCAATTTGGTAACTGGGTGGCATGAACCCAGGAAACCTGACATATATCATCTGCTTCTGTTTACAGGGTTGTAGTCACTCTTCAATCTGGCACTACATTTGTCCACAAGGCAGAGTTAATTCAATGCTGAAAAATCTTCTTAGCTTCTAGGACAACCCTGTAGATTTTTTCATATTAATATTGACCAGTAATTTTAAACTATTTTTCCGTATCTATTAAGTACACTTGCCAAGTGCTGATTCTGCTGTTAAAATGTTCAATCAGCATAGATATTAGAATTCACACACTACTAGGTAATTCTTCATGGTTTTACTCAATATGAGAAGTGATTTTACATGGTAGGGTGCTGCAATTTGCACACTTCAGAGGTAAGGAACTGAACTTTGAGATGTTCAATAACTCAGCTATAATTTTCTAGCAAAGGAATCAACCAAAGTCAGAGTTCAAGCCCATGTTTGATGGTAGATCTTATGTTACATTCTTTCTGCTATTCCCATTGGTCAGATTGACTGGCAAAGTTTATTGACATGATCAAAACTATTTACCTTTCTACAAGAGACCTTAGCAAATGATAGAACTTGAGCTTGAGTGGTGGCTCCATGGGAGGAGGCAATGGTTGCCAAGCCTGACAACCTGAGTTAGATTACCAGGACCCACAGAGTGAAGGAAAGAATCCTGTAAGTTTCCTCTGACTGCCACACATGATGTAGCACATATACAAACCCCTATATAAATAAATGATAAATGAAAAATGTGGTTCTTATAGGACTACTGTCATCAGTAAATTTTTAAATTTCAGCAGGAAGCTAGCATTGATCAAACACCCATGAATAAGTTGATTTCACACACATAGCATTGAATTTGAGCAATCCATTGTTGGCATAATAAAAAAACAAGGGACAGGAAATGAAATTGGTAATGCTCAATTTTCTTCATTTCTCTTTCTAATATTTTTTTCAGTTAACTTAGAAAAAGAATGGAACACTCTTTTATACTGGAGTGGAGTATTGACAGTAGAAGTAAAGTGAAAACAGTTGCTATATTCTACATTGTCAAAGCTCACAAAGGCCAATAGCAAGTGTATCAAATTCAAACTTCCAATATTTTTTCAAGAAATAAAGGAACTGATCTTTGTAAGTGGTAAA